GGAACCTTCCACACCGGGAGGCTGAGAGCGCCTGGTCTTCTGGGCTTGCCGTGTGGCCTGGGGTGAGCTGTGGCCTCAGCTTCCTTTTCCCTCATCTGCTCGAGGGGAGTGACTGTCCTCGCCGGCCTCACCCTCCCCTCCTGCCAGCACTGTGGTGCCTTCGGAGCAGATAATGGATGTGAGGCCCTGGGGTGCCGTGTAATTCTGATTAATATTAATGATTCGCCAGGCAGTTGCCTGCTGCGCTGCAGGCCCTGGGCCAGCTGCCCTTCTCCGCGGGGACTGCAGCAGGGGAGCGGGGGTGCCCCTCGGTCAGGGAAGCTGCCAGCTTCAGAAGGGGTTTCTGATGTCCCATCTTCCCCTCTACACCCCAGATTTTTTCTCTGGGCCACTGCCCCAACCAGGACTGGCTGGCCGTCGGCATGGAGAGCAGCAACGTGGAGATCCTGCACGTCCGCAAGCCGGAGAAGTACCAACTGCACCTGCACGAGAGCTGCGTGCTCTCCCTCAAATTCGCCTCCTGCGGTGGGTCTGCCCTGGTTGGGGCGGGGCTCCGGGGTTCGGGGAGCAGGGCCCCCAGAACACCAAACAAAAAGATCAGGATGCTCAGTTCAGTCTGAATCTTACCCAAACAGCTCTTTACGTAGTGTAGGTATATCCCACGCATTGTGTGGGATAGACTTAATGCTAAACAGCAAATAATTCTGATACTGTAAGTATGTCCCACACAAGGCGTGGGACATTCTTACGCTCAAAGGCCACCATGGTCGACCCTAGAACAGCATGGATTTGAATCACGCGGGTCCACTTGTATATGGATTGGATTGTGTTCAATAAGTCTATTGGGAAATTTGGGGGAGATTTGTGACAATTTGAGAAAACATTTTGTCTCTTACTCTATTGTGAGATTACGGTATATAATGCATGCATAACATAATAAATACGTGTTCATCGACTGTTTATGTTATGGGTAAGGCTTCCCATCCACAGGAGGCTGTCAGCAGTTACATTTTGGGGAGTCAAAAGCTACACATGGATTTTCGACTGCACAGGGGGTCAGCACCCCTAACCCCTGTGTTGTCTGAGGGTCATCTGGAATTTGTTAGCAGAGATGTATCCCAAATATTGCATGGCTTATACTCACATTTTTTAAAAGTCAAATGATATTTTAGTATGTCCCAAGTGTTACCCAGGACATCCATATACTAAGAAAACAGTGAAATATTTGGGGTACATCTGCACTACAGATGACTCGTGGCTTATCTAAGATTCAAACCCTAACTGGGTATCCTGCATATTATCTGCCACCTTCTCCTGGGGGCTCCCCTTTCTTGAAGGCCAGATGGAACCTCAGGGACCTTGATATCACCATCTAGAAAATGGGGGGGAAGGATCAAGCCTCAGCTAAGGGGGCCTCATGTCCCCCAAATGAAGTCAATGGTGCTGACAGGAAGGAGAGAGGCCAGCCCAGCCTGTCCGCCCCTGCCTGCTGCCCACAGCCCTGGGCTTCCGGCAGGCCTCTCTCCTGGAACTCTCCTGTCCCCCCCAGGGCGGTGGTTCGTGAGCACGGGAAAGGACAACCTTCTCAATGCATGGAGGACACCCTACGGAGCCAGCATCTTCCAGGTATGCGTGCTCTGGCACTCCCACCTCAGCAGGGCCTCGCTGCACTGGCGATTTCACAGAGCCTCCCCACCAGCCAGCAGCTACTAATGCAGGGTCAGCAAACTGCAGGCTGTGGGCCACATGTGCATGCAGCCCTGTTTTGTTTTGTTTTAATTGTGGTAAAGTGCGTGTAAAATTTGCCATCTTAACTATGTGTAAGTGCACAGCTCAGCGTCATGAAGCACATTCACCTTGTCGTGCGAACAGCCCCCCATCCGTCTCCAGAACTTTCTACCCTCCCGAAGTGAAAGTCCATCCCAGGCAACACTCACTCCCCACCCTCTCCCCAGCCCCGGCGCCACCACCCACTTTCTGTCTCTGTGGATGAGACTCCTCTAGGGACCTCCTGGGACGGGGATCAGACGGGGTCAGTCTTTTTGGGTCTGGATCATGTCACTGAGCACCGTGTCCTCGAGGTCCATCCATCCATGTTGTAGCAGGGGTCAGGATGTCCGTCCTTTTCAAGGCTGTGTAATATTCCACGCACAGATGGACACATTTTGTGTATTCATTCACCGGGTGACGGGCACCTGGTTTGTTCCCACTTTTGGCTACTGTGAATCGTGCTGCTGTGGCCATGCACGTCCAGATGTTTTGCGTGAACACGCAGTTTTGGTTCTCTTGGTGGGGAATGGCTGATAACCATTTAACCTTTGGTTGAACTGCAAGACCGTTTCCAAGGTTTGCTTCCCCACCAGCAGCGTGTAAGGGCTGGATCATCCCGCACATCCTCTCCAACACTTGTTACTATGTCTTTTTTATTGTGGCCATCCTAGTGGGTATGAAATGGTTTTTACATTATTAACAGGTTGTAAAAAAAAAAAGTTGAGTATGTGACATACATTTATTTGACCTCTGGACTTACTGGACTTATATAGACTTTAGAGAAAGCCTGAAAATTTACTCTCAGACCCTTTAAAGAAAAAGTTGGCCAAGCTTTGATGCAGGTCATTAGCCCTCTGCTGTGCTGTGTGGCCTCATGCCTGGCGCATACCCTCTCTGAGCTTCCCAGGAAAGGGCAGTGCTTCAGACCCATCTCTGTGAGTGTCCAGAGAGTGGAGGTCCTGTCCTTCCCAGGAGCACCAATGCACCTTATCCTGGAAAACGTCACCTTCCCTCTCCCAAGATCCCCACCCTGCTAGAAGTGCCCCCACTCCCCACTCTGAGCCCCTGTCCTGACCTGATCCTGTCTCAGCCCCAGCGTTGACCCCAGGCTCGTCCTTGGGGGCAGGCGCTGGCCCCAGGAGCCGCGCCTCTTCCCTCTGAATGTCAGCGCGCCTCACCTCTGCCCCCTGTCCCTGTCCTTCACCCTGTCAACAGTCCAAGGAGTCGTCGTCTGTGCTGAGCTGTGACATCTCTGGGAACAACAAGTACATCGTGACGGGCTCAGGGGACAAGAAGGCCACTGTCTACGAGGTGGTATACTGAGAAGCCCCTCTTCCCGCACCCCTGCTCGGCGGCCAGGGGACAGAGACCCCTGCACCCCCCCCCACAGCCGCACCTGGGAGCACCGACGCTCACGTGCTTTCGGGCTGATGTCGTCACATCGTCTGCAGCACGTGGGGGCGGGTGGGCCAGGGGGATCGGGGGAAATAAAGGTGTTTATCACAGCTGCCTTTCTGTCTGGGGCTGGGGGACCAAGGACCATGGCTTTTCTTGAGCACCGCTAGGGAAGCCACTTTCTAGCTATGTGACCGGGGGAAAGGAGACAGACTTCCCCTCTCTCGGCCTCATTTCTCTTATCTGGTCCATGAAGTAGTTCATTCTGCATGAAATAGCACAGGGGCTGCTATGAGAAAAGGTGTCGTGTTGTGTGGGCGATGTGGCCCAAGTCATGCCACGTAACAAACAGCCCCAGGTAGATGCCATTTGTCTCATTCGTGCCCAAGTGACCTGCAGGGCCCCGCCCCAGGAGATGCTCGCGACAGTGAAGGACCTGCCACCGCCTCCACATGCAGCTTCAGACCCCAGCAACCAAGACAGTCACACGCAGCTATTAAATGCTCTGGCCCAGAAGGTTGACATTCTCTCTTTTACCACCAACCCTCTGGACAGGCTCACCCCCAGACACTGCCGACGTACAGGAGGATGAGGATTATAACAGAGCACATAGCTCTTAGGAGGTGCAGTCATGTGTCCTTTGAGACCTGGAGGTAATTCCTAAAAGCCTGGTGCATGAAGCCTGCTCATGGGAAGGTGTCAAGGGAACATAGCAGTCCCAGAGGAAATGACAGCTAAGCTGAGAGCTAACGGGAGAAGCGGCCGTCAGAAGGGTCATGAGACTGCTCGGTATGTAGGGTACAGCATGTGCAAAGGTGAGGAGGTGAGGAGGTGAGGAGGTCGGCCTGGTGAGGAGGGCAGGGAAGTTCCTTCCAACTCCAGCAGACAACGGAGTTTCCAGATCGGACTTGAGCAGAAGCACTGACACTGAGCAGGTCTGAGCAGCTATCTGGTGTCCACCCATTTGACACCTGGAGTTTGCCCAGTTGTGACAACCCCAGACATCCCCAGACATGGCCAGGTACACCCCCAAGGGTTAGCTTCACCCCCCGCCCCCTGCCCAGGGAGAGTGCGCTGATCCAATGGACAGGGTGTCGGGTAGAACCCCACGCCTGGCACTGTGCAAGAAGTGGCTGGGAAACCCCTCCTCGAGGGAAGATTAGCTCAGTGGGGCAGGCCACTCACCAAGGGGCGAGGCCTGGAGACCAGGGATGTTGGGCTTAACACCCCACCCTGCAGCCACTGCCGGCCATTGGCTGTGCCCACCAGCACCCAGTCCTCCCGGAGACTGGGAGACAGGCTCACTAGGTTGGGGGCGAGCAGCTGGGAAGAAGCCAGTTGGGTCCTGGGCTGGCCCCGGAGGGAGGCAGGCAGGAGCCCAGGGACCTGCCTGGGGAGCTGACCATCTGCCCGCTTCCTGGCTGTGGGCCAACAAGCAACTTCAGAGCCTCAGGCCTCAGCCTGCTTCTCTGCAAAATGGGTGTATCCGCTCTACCTGAAAGGGTTACGGCAGACACTACACAGGGCTTTGAGCACCTGAAACAGCGTGAGGGTGCCAGTGTTACGTGGGCAGTGGGGGGGAGCGTTTCTATTCTGGCCAGCATCAGATGCTTGACCTACCATGATCCCTGACCGTCCCCCAAATTCCACCTCCTTCCTAGCCCGAGGCCCAGCCCCTACCCTGGCAAGTGGAACCCATCTTAACCTGCACACCTGAGACTCAAGCTGGTGTTCCTGGGGCTCCCTGGGGGTCCTGAGGTCCCAGCACCGCAGGCAGGTATCCAGACCCTTCATCCAGACGGTATGGTCTTTGACAGCAATGTCCCTGCCTCCATTCAGGTGGCCTGGCAGGTCCTTGACCAGGATGGGCATTGGGAGGGGATCAGGGCCAATACTGAGCTTTGGGCCCTAAGAACTTCACCCGCCCAACTGCACCCAGGTGACAAATAGGGAAACCGAGGCAGGCAAAAAGCACCATGACTGGCCTTCGAGGAAACAGCCCAGCCAAGATTTGGACCTGGGACTTGAACTCTCTCAGGTGCAAGTTCAAGAAGGTGGGGGGCTTTGGTCTTGGGACTGCTAGGTTCCTACTCTGGGGAGGTGGCAATGGGCCCTGGGGATGACCCACCCACCCAGGCCATACCTGACCACGCTCCGGTCCTGCAGGTCCCGGATCCTGAAGGTGCGGTCGGTGAAGTAGGCAAAGGCCGGATGGTCCTCAGGGCTGGAGGCCAGGGCTTGGCAGCTGAGACCCTAGCAGAGGAGCTCATCTTTCACATGCAGGGAAGGCACTGCCAGGCCCCACACGCTCACGCCAGCCAGGCCATGGCTGCCTGACAGGGGGGTCCTGCTGTCTGAGGACAGCAGGCTGGAGTGAAGGTACTCCCCCCAGGTCTAGGGTGGGCAGACTCACAGGCTTCCTCCCCTGCAGGGGCTCCTCCTGTGCCCACAAGCCCCGCCCTCACCTGTACGGGCAGGCACCTCTCCGGAAACCTGTCCTCCACCACCTGGCACACTGGGCTCCACACCTTGATGGTGCCCCAGCTGCAGGTGAACGCATGCCTTGGGGTGCTGCTGACAGCTGTGCCAGCACGGGGTCCCCATGTGACAGCACCTCCATCTCCATTCCGTGTGGGACGGCCAACTTTGTGGGATTGCCAGGGCAAGGCATTCTGCTTTTTCCACGTGTCCTTGAAATCCTCAGGGTCCCAGCATCTAGGGAGGAGAGGCTTCGGGGTCACCAACCTTCCTATGAGCCCCTCTTCCCAGTGAAGGGGGGGCACCCATTAAGCCCCAGAAGGGCTTTGTTCTTTTTCAGACATTGAGGTTCTCTGAGGCCTCTTTTCCCCACTTACTACACTTTCCCCAAGGTCCTACCTACTCACACCCTTCCAAGTATTCTAACACAGCTCCCTCCTGCCTAGAATGCCTTGCCCCATCCCGGCAAACTCCTACTCATCCATCAAGGTCCTAACCATTATGCCCCTTCCTCTAGGATTCTTCTGGCTCCCACCTGGGCTCCCCCAGCCTCAAACCACAAGGTTGGGACTGTCTGCCTCCAGCTCCTTTCCATGGAGTTCCTTTGCCAAATCCCTGGGACCCAGGGCCGGTTATGTGGGGAGGGGCAGTGATGCTGGTAACTCAAGTGGCACATCTCTACCCGTCTCCTCAGCTCTGGTCATTGAGGACAGCACCGTGGTGATGGGGAAGGGGAAGGGGGGACACACCTACACCTCTGGTCGCCTCTCCCTGCTGGGGACAGAGGTACAGATGGGAGGGGCAGTGCAGACAAGTACATGGACCTCAGGAACAGAGAGGCCCTCCCAGCATTCTCTGCAGGAGGACCAGATCACAGCTGAGTCACTCAGCAACCTCTGCCCCAGTCCCTGCAGCCTTCCTGGGGGGGTGCCACTCAAGTCCGGGACTCACCTGGGCCATGCGGGAGAGCTGCCCCAAGAACTGGGCAGAGACAAGAGGGGATAAGTGGCAGGTGTGGGTCCCTGTAGCAGGTGGCCCCCCAGCCCATGGGGATCACCCAAAGCATGTTCAGGTCCCGAGTAGTGTGGCCCTGAGTCCTGGATTTCCTGCCCACAGGAACTGCGGCGATCAGCTTGGAACCAGGGTCGGGCTTAGAACCAGAAAACCTCAAGGAGGCCCTGGCAGCATGGATGGAATTCATGAACAGGCCCAAATCCCATCTTCCCATGCAGGCAGGGCTGCGAACCGTCTCAGCTGGGCCCAGCCCTGAATTCTCCAGGGACTAAGGGTAGAGGATGTGGACCGATCCCCCAGGGACTCAAACGTCCCAGCCTAGGGGCCCACCCAGCCCAGAAGCTCACACCTCCGGGTACCCAAGAATCAAGTTACTCCCCAGGCCTGGCACCTGTTCTGTTGCTGTGGTGACGGCAGGGACCCATTTCCCCTCCCTCTCAGGGGCTCACTCCTGTGTCCGGGCCAACCCACCGTATCATGGGTCCCAGCAACACGCTGCCAGAGTTGCTCAGTTAGAGCATCCTGCCAAAACCTGGGGCTCGGGGTCCCAGGACAGCTGCACGTCCAGCTGGTGGACGGGGGCTTCGTCCACTCCAGAAGGCTGCTGGAGCCAGTCGGGTGACCTTACGGCTATGACAGCTTGGTTGATGGCCCCTAGAGAACAGAGGGCTGCAGGGTCTTGGCCCCGGGGTGCTGAGAAGCCTCCAGGCTGGGTGATCTCCAGGAGGCCAGGCCGATCTGGTCACCAGCCGAGACCTGACTCCCCCAGTGCTGCAAACACGAGGTTCTGAGGGACAAGAAGACATGCCCTTTGCCCTGACCCTGAGTCTGTCCCTACCCTCCTCAAGGGCCCAGAAACCTACCTCCCCCACTGGAAGCCCAGAGGTTGGCTGCAGGTCTCCGTAAATGGTAGAAGGTTTTCAGCCTGGAGGTGGGAACACCATCCCAGATAAACGTCCATAACCGGATGGCCCTGGGTGTGAAACCCTGGGTGTGAACCCCCTCCTGCCAGCCACTTTCCCGTGTGTAAAACCGGGATATACCACGTGCCCTGAACGTTTCTGGGTGGATTCATGATAATGTAGGGCTCTCCGTACTGCATCAGGCGGAAAGCAAGGCCTTGGTGCCCAGAACTCAGCAGCGGACGATAGAAGCTGGCCTAAGGCCTGTCCCCATTACAATACAGTAGAAAGTAGCCTCGGCCCCGGTTAGCATCCAGCCTGCTTTTCCTGGGATGGAAAACTGAAGTCTGAACACTAGCCCTTGCTTTCAGTGGCTTCAAAATGACATGGTATTTACATGTGTCCCTCTGTGTGGTGGTGATGCTTGAACTTGTGTCCATATTGGCAAGATATTAAGAACCAATGGTTACCTCTTAGGGAGAAGGGCCGTCAGCAGGGCACTGGGGACCTGGTGGGAGAGCCACATAAGGTTATTTTATATTTAAAATGGAGCCATGTCCTGACTACTGATTCCAGATTTAGGTCAACAGTTCCTACAGAAGGACACAGAAGGGACTGAGGGATCTAAGTTTCCAGTGTTCTGTCTTCCAACAGGCTTCCTCTCTGCCTCCTCTGTCCTTGGAGGGTATGGGACTTTCGACCACATCCCCTACTGCGTTAGCCCCATACCACTTACCCAACACAGGACCAGATTCATTTTCAACTTCTCTTTCCACAGAACTGGGCCGCCCCACACACAGCTACCAACCGCAGGTGTGGCTCTTTAATGTACAATTAAACTTGGCCACACTTCAAGTGCTCAACGGGCACATGGGGGCTGTGGCTGACCAGGTACAGTGGTTCCTAGAATGTGGCTGGCATGTGGCTCCCACAGACCAGACAAGACTGGAGACTTCCCGCCAGGGTTCTCAAGAACTCCTAGTGGGGAGACCCACCTTCTTGGCACCATAAGGAACTCCGTGGGAATGTGTGTGTGTGCAGCTACATTTAGTCCGTTGCCAGACTAAATATAGTGATAGTGGGAATGTTCTAGACCTGCCTGTCTAATGTGGCAGCTGCTAGTGGCTATTGGGCACTTGAGATGTGGCTGGTACCACTTGTTTAATGTCAGCTTAAATTTAAATGGCCACCTGTGCCCCATGGCTACCGTGGAGGGTAGCATGGATTTGGTCTCTGGCCTATGGCTCTGGACACAGTGCCCGTGGGACTTACGCCTGCACACCCCCACTGTGGGGGACACTAAGACGCTCCCCAGAGTCATCTGGCCCACGGCAACTTCCAAAATCCTGGGAAAATGTGGATTCACGCAGAAAGATCACTGATAAGGGAATGCAGGATGGTGCCCACTGTGGCCAATTCTATCCGCCAGACACTCCTGGCGTTCCCATTTTGCAGATGAGAAAACAGACACAGAGAATCTCAGCCAGGAGGAACCGGGGCCAGGCAGTATTGACGCGCTTCCCTGAGCAGCCCGGCCCCTCCCCCGCCTGCTGAGCCCAGGGACCGGTGAGGACGTGGACCCCCCCACTCTGACCCCTCCTGCTCCAGGCTGCTGCCTCCCCGGGCAGCCAGTACTGGGTCCCCCAGCTGGGCCTTCCCACACGCAGGCCCGGGGGAGCCTTCCGCAATTCGCCGGCTCGTTAATGCGCAATTTACTGGCACTTTACTGCACTCCGCGTGGAAAGTGCTGCCCCCGCCTGCCTGCTCGCTGGCCCTCCCTGGGGAGAGCTGTGCGCCGGCAGCCGGCGGGGGCCCGGCGCTGCGGCCGCTGCTACTGCAGCTCAGGATTTTAAATGCACGGCAAGGAGGCGGGGAAGCCCCAGCAGGAAACAGAGGGGGACGGCAGGGGGTCTGCCCCGTCCACTGGCAGGTAGAGCTGCTGGGGATAATCACCTGGTGGGGGGTAGTCGCGGGCTGAACAGCAACACAATGGCCCAGCCTGGGGCTCCTTGCTCAGCAGGGGCTGTCAGGTCGGCAAACCCCCGCCCCCAATCGGCAATCTGACGCTTTCACCACCAAACTGCTCTAACTGACCGGCATCCCAGACCTGATGGTCCCTGCCCTGCCCCCAGTCTGTTCTCCTCACCGCCGGTAGAGGGCGCCTGTGAGCACCGGGTCAACTCCCTCTCCCCTGCCCGCAGCCCTCCAGGCTCGCACATCCCAGGGCCCTGCCCGTCTCCTCCCTGCCCTCCCCTCCTCCCTATCTCCCCCTCGCTCCCTCTGCTCCAGCCACACAGCCTCCCCGTTGTTCACACGCCAGGCCTGGTGCTGCCCCAGGGCCTTTGCACAGGCTGCGCCCTCTGCCTAGATTGCTCCTCACCCTCTCTGCACCCCCTCCCTGATATCCTTGAAGAGTCTGCTCACAGGTCTCCTCAGCGAGTCTTCCCTGGCCACTCTGAATTGCAGGCCCTCCCACCCCGGTCCGCTGGGGCCTGTGGGCTGCTCTCACCCACCCCTCCCCCAGCCCTCACCGTGTGATCCTTTTGTTTGCCAAGCTCCCCTCACCCCCAGGGCAGAGGTTCCTCTGTCTCCTTCTTTGCTATTTCCCTGGCGCCTTCAGCTGCACTTGGCAGGCAGGTGATGGATAAATAGCTGTTGAATGAATAACCGTGTTCTGGTTGCTTCCTGGCCCCCCTCCCACTCAGGATCTGTCTCTCCCTGTTCCCTGAGCTGCCCACCGGGGGCCCTGCTAAGTTGCAGACACGGCCCTGGCGCCCTGCCAGTCACATCTGGTACAGGCAGAGAGTCCTGCCAGCACCCAGGAGAAAGGGGCCAGGTGGCAGAGGATAGGCAGGCTTGCCTCAGTGTGGGCACGCCGCCCTGAGCAGGGAGCCCCCGCCCACCCCCACGCAGACCTGCCCCCACCTCATGTGGGATCGGGCCCCGAGAACTCCTGACACCCCAATCCTGGTGTGCCTGGCGCAGAACTGACCCTTCAGAGCTGAAGCAACTGAACTGCAGGAAGTGCTGAAATGGCCCCTGGCCTCAACTGAGCCCCACAGGGACCGGGGAGCCAGCCAGGAAGGAAGAGGCTCAGAGAGCGATGGGAGGTGCTCTCCTGAGATATAAGGGGGTCCACTCAGGTCCTGGGGAATTTCAGGCCAGGTCCCCCTCCTCTGCCCTCCAGGGTGCTCACCTCTCTCTGGGTCAGAGCCAAGTCCTCCCTGCGGCCCCCAAGGCCCGTCCTCTCCAACCTCTCTCCCACTTTCTCCTGCCTTTTGAGGAGGGGCAGCCATACCCCGAGCTCCTGGTCACCCACCTACCTGTTTATGATGTCCCTGGAAACCCTGCCAGATCTGGACTTGTGAAGGAACAACAGAGATTACTCTGGGCTGCGGATGGCGCCTGGAATTGAGTGCTGTGTGGCCCTGGGCAAGTCACTACACCTCTCTGGTCACTATGCCCATGAAATGGATTCCACCTATCACACAGAGTAGGAGCTATTTAGGGAGACCCTTGGGTTTCATTTTCATGGTGAAGGTCAAAAGCCTCCTCCCCACAGCCACAGGGCCCTGCATGACCTACCCTGTTCCATTCCCTTCTCCCTCCCCTCCCCTCCGCTCCAACCACATGGGCCCCCTAAGGGTTCCTCCCACAGGCCAGGCCTGGTGCTGCCCCAGGGCCTTTGCACAGTCTTTCCTCTGCCTGGAATGGCCTTTCATGTCCTCTCAGGGGTAAGGGGAGCACCTTATTTTCTGTCTCACCATGACATTACTTCCTCCAAGAAGCCCTTCCTGACTACCTTAGCTCAACACCTTTATTTTCATGTTCTTTTTCTTTATAGTGTTACACTTTGTGAATCTTGTTTGTCTATTCTCGTTGCTCCTCTCCCTATAGCTGCCCTGTCCAATGAGGTAGCCACTAGCCAGGCATGGCTATTTCAATTTAAATTGAATCCAGTTAAAAATTCAGTTATTCCCAAGCACTCAAGAGCCACAGTAGCTAATGCGTGCCATAGTGGCACTACTGATAACAGGACATTCCCATCATCGTGGAAAAATCCAGAAAGCAGCACCACAGTAGAACATACACGAGAGGGCAAGGATTCCAGTTACCCGCTGTCTCCCTAAACGACCCACTGCCAGCTGAAGAAACACCTTTCAACACAGAATTTCTAGTTTTTGTCTCAAGGTTAGGATTCATAAAGAGAAACCCTGAGGAGAGACTGGGCCTCCATGTGCTGACCCACTGGGCCAGACCAATAACATATAAGTGGAGGACAGGGGTATCCCCGAACCTGGTGCCTGAGGTCAAACACAACAGCCTTCCCTGGAGGTTTCGAAAGGGCTGTCCATCTGTGCCATCGAGGGAGGGGGGTACCTGGGGGCAGAAAGGCTGCCTTGGAGAGGAGGCCTCAAGGACCTGCCTCAGAACGAGCCCAGCCCCTCCTCCCCAGGGCCGGGCCAGACCGAAGGTCCCTTCAAGAAGCCACATTGCAGGCACAGATCAAGAGGAATACGCTTTTGATGCAGTATTTTTAAAACTACAACTGAATGCAAGCAAATTCACACTGAACAACAAATCTAACATTTAAACAGAAGCCAGTATTGGCATGGCTGGTTCCCCCTTTGCTTCAGGCTCTGTATGGCTCCCCATCTCCCTTTGCTGGTCCTGTCTTCTGGAGCCACAGTGGGACCTCCTTCCCCCAGGGCTCCCTCACTTAGGGAGCTGATTCTTGCGGCTCCTAGATGCCCAGGCCTGGAAGACTGGCCCCAGTTGGAGCCTAGAAAGGCGTTAGGAACAACCCCTCAGCCTCTCAACATCCCTGCCTCGCGTCCCATCCCCAATCAGCCAGGTGGGGCAGGGCGGGCTGGGACCTTCTCAGACCTGAAAGTAATTTGCTTTCTTTCTATGCACTTAAGTACCTGCAGGGTATCTTCCATTTTGCATCCTGGCCTGAAGTCTAAAATACTCACTCTCTGGCCCTTTATGGAATGTTGGCCCACCTCTGGCCTAAACCTAGAAATGGTCATCTCTGGAGCGGGGTGGGGGGCTTTTGCTTATAAAATATTAACCAAATAGATGATGTAGTCACACGTTTTTTCACCTGGTTGATAAAGAGTAAGTTTAATTTTAAAAAGGAAGTGCTTGGCACCTGCCAGTAGGTAGGATGAGTTAGTGTCCCCAGCTAAAAGGCTAGCCCACCGTGTCCCTCCATCACGTTTGAGCCCAGTCCTTGGGCTCTTCCCCTCTCCCCAGGGGTTCATGACACTCCACACCCTCTTCACCAAAGTTCCTGGGGCCTCTCATCCTTTGAGGTGCCCCTGGGGGCTGAGAGAGCCCCAAGAGGTCACCTTTGGGCAGCAATCCCAAAGACTGGGGCCAGGGACTCTGAAAGTAATGAGGAGGTGGCAGGTCCTGAGGGCAGGAAGCTGGGCAGTGGCAGGGCCACGGTCAGACCCCACCTCCACCCCCAGGCACGTGGGCCTTCCCTTCAGGACCCCCTTGACCCCCATCCCCACCCCCTGACTTCCAGCACTTCACTGCATTCCTGTGTTCACTCATCAAGCACCCTCTGGTGCCTCCAGCTTCACTGATTAACTGTGGGGACCCCAGGGATCTCACCCCATGAGGTGGGGAGATGGCGCTGGACACATACACTGTGTACCACGACTTGTCAAGGTTGGGGGACCCCAAAGAAGGATGCCAAAGCTCAACCTTAGTTTTAAGACAATTTCCTAAAGCACGGGAGAAAAATCATTGCAAAAGGGTTTTGAAGGATGAGTAAGAGTTGGGCAGGTACATTAGGAGGAATTTTTCAGACAGGAGGAAAGAGACCTCTCTCCACTTAATGACTCAGGCGGCACCAAGCCCCATCTTAATTCTCTTCTGCTGCTCAACGCCCCTCCACCTTCCTCCCCAGCCCCCGAGCCCTGGGGACTTCCGGAAGATCCAGCTGCCTACCCACTTCCCTCAGGAGGGAGGCCCAGGACAATCAAGGAGGAAGCGGCAGGGGTCAGCCAAGTTCGGGCCAAAGGAATCGCCTCCCCCTCTGCCAATCCCGGGTCCGTTTGACCCGCCGGGCCCCGCCCCGCAGCCACCTGCCCCGCGAAGCTGATCAATGAAAGAGCAGAGGCTGCACGTGGGTTTGGGCTTCGCGGGCGGCCGCCGGAGGCTCTGGCCAATCGCGAGGCCGCGTACCCACGTGGGCGACGACCGCCATCGCTGATTGGTCGACTCTCCCCGGCGGCCGGCCGGGCTGTCAATCCGCGCGCGTGGCGCAGCCGTTTAACCCTTGCGGTGCTGCTGCAGGGAAGGGCATCGTGCAGAGCCGCAGGCCTTTTGAGGTTCAGGCAGGTGACAGGATATTAAGAAGGGCAAGGGGCTTGGGGTCAGAGAGTGCAAACTTGTGGAAGGGTTGGGCGGAGTCGGTGAGCAGGCTGATCATTTTTAGCAAAGCCCAGGAGTGTTTATGGCTGGGGGAAGGGTTGGGAAGGGGGTGTGTCTTTAGCACTCTCACCCCAATCCTTTTATTTGGGCTAATAACATTTTTTCAATACTTTGTAACACGCAATGCAAACGAAGCATTGAACCCCCTTCCTGGGGAAAATTTAGCAGACCCCTTTTTATCCAGCACTTACTTCCTATGAGCCAAGCCTCATACTATGCATTTTATTAGTGAATTTTCTCAACTGCCAAGCCCAGGGACCAAGGAGCTGAGAACCTAAAGCAGGAAATGGTACAATGTTTCCAAGTTCAAGGCCAGGGTGGGAAGGGGTGATATGTGTTCTAGGCCTGGGATGACTTCAGAGATAATGAGGAGACAGGGTTAGAATGGTCATAAGAGATTCAGGAATTCTGTTTGGCTGCCTTTGAAATGTCTACTCCAGATAGTAAGTGGTCAGTGGAAGAGTTTTATAGTGAAAGGCGGAGTTTCTTCCTACCCCAGGACCTTTGCACTGGCCATTCCTTGCTCTGCCAGGTATCTTCTTCTCCCTTGACAGCTACTGGTTCATTCCCTCCTTCAGCAACCTGCTGGGAGGTCACCACCTCAGCAAGGTGTCCCCAGACTGTCCCTTTTGAAAATGCACCCCAACATAACCCCACCCCATTCTTTCTTTCTTACTTAATTTGTCTCCAAATGTGGTTTGCACTGGAGCTAATCTTGTAATTTTGGTGGCTGTAAATCCTGCTATGCTGAAAACTCACAGGATGCCAACAGAATTCACAGACATTCTCCCACCTGGGTAGGTGGGTACACTGGCTTGAGAGCTGAAGAAGCCAGGGGACTCGCCCATCTGTCCCTGTTCTGTGCTCTGTCGCTGAGGAAACTGAAAGTTCTGATTTGGGGGACGCTTAGTCCCCAGAGATTATGATGTAAACACAACTCGGGTTTTGTGGCTGGCGTATGGAGGAGTAAGTGAGGGCTGCCATGCATAAGCCGCAGAAAAGGTTTTCACCCATGATCCCTCAACTGGCTCTTAATTGAAGTGTATTTTATTTATGGGTCAGCCCGCTAATTGCCTCCCTGTGTGCTTGGCTCTGCTCTCCGTGGTTGCTGGGCACACCAGTTTATCCAAGGCTGTCTTGTCTCATGTGTTACCCACCGGGTACCA